TATTTTTATCTAAAAATGAGGATGGGCAGGTGCAGCGGCTCAAACGCATAACTGGGAAGCTGAGGCAGGAGTATTGCTTGAAGCCAGGAGTTCAAGATCTGACTGGGTAACAAAGCTATATCCTGTTTGTACAAAAAAATTAAAAATTAGCTCACTGCAGCCTACAACTCCTGGGCACAAGTCATCCTCCTACCTCAGCTTCCCAAGTAGCTGGGACTATAGGCACCTGCCACAATGCCTGGCTATTTTTAGAGACAGGGTCTCGCCCTGGCTCAGGCTGGTCTCAAACCTGTGAGCTCAGAAAATTCCCCTGCCTCGGCCTCCCAGAGTGTTAGGATTACAGCCATCGCACCGCTATTTCTCTGATACTATAATTTTACTGAAGTATTTTTATGCTCCCTTCATTGTCTCAGACTTCTATGATTGTTTTTCCCACTGATTCTACATGTTGGAGATTTTTAATTTTTTTCATGTTGAAGGCTTCCTCTGGTATCCATTGATTTTTATCCATTCATATTTTAAGAATAAAGTAATAAATGTTGATTGGAGGCTTTGAGTATATATGTTTGAGTCTTGTCAGTTGAAGGATCACTATAGCTTTTTGTCTGAGGATGCCTCAAATGTCAGTGTCTGTGGCTATGATTTTCTACTACAGAGTAGAACGTGCCTGTAAAGTCCTCTGAGCAGAAAAGGACTTGATCATCTGGGTGTATACCTAGTAGAGGAATTGCAGGATCAATGGTAGTTCCTTGAGGGTTCTCCTTGAGTGTTCTCCAAACTTCTTTCCAAAAAGGCCGTATTAGCTTGCATTCCCACCGGCAGTGTAGAAGCGTTCCCTTCTCTCCGCATCCTCGCCAACATCTGTAATTTGGGGATTTTGTGATGTGGGCTAATTTTACTGGAATTAGATGATATCTCAAAGTAGTTTTGATTTGCATTTCTCTGACGATTAAGGATGATAAGCAATTTTTCATGTTTGTAGGCCATGCGCCTGTCTTCATCAGAGAAGTTTCTGTTCAAGTCTCTCGCCCACATAGAAATGGGGTTATTTATTCTTTTCTTATTGATTAGTTTGAGTTCTGTGTAGATTCTAGTTATCAGACCTTTGTCAGAAGCAAAAATCTTCTCCCATTCTGAAGGCTGTCTGTTTGCTTTACTTACTGTGCTCTTGGCTGTACAGAAGCTTTTTAGTTTGATCAGATCCCAGTAATGTATTTTTGGTGTTGCTTCAATTGCCTGGAGTCAGGCAATTGTGCCCAGGAGTTGTAGGCTGCAGTGAGCTAATTTTTAATTTTTTTGTACAAACAGGATATAGCTTTGTTACCCAGTCAGATCTTGAACTCCTGGCTCCTGGGGTCCTCCTCATAAAATATCTCCCAAGTTGATTTCTTCAAGCGTTTTCCCTGCACTCTCTTCTAGTATTTTTATCGTTTCATGTCTTAAGTTTAAATCTTTTATCCAGTGAGAATCAATTTTTGTTAATGGTGAAAGGAGGCGATTCTCTTGCCTTAGTCTCCTGAGTAGCTGGGACTACAGGCGCCCACAACACCTGGCTATTTTTTGTTGCAGTTTGGCCAGTGCCGGGTTTAAACCCGCCACCCACAGTATATAGGGCTGGCGCCCTGCCCCCTGAGCCACAGGCACCCCCCATTTTCATTGTTTTTTAGCAGGCCCAGGTTGGGCTGGAACCTGCCAGCCTGGGTATGGCTGGTGCCCTACTCACTGAGTGAGCAACAGGCGCCGAGCCCATAGTGTAATCAAATAATAAAAAAACTGAGTGGCTTAAAACAACACAAACTTATTATCTTACAGTTCTGAAGGTTAAAAATGTAAAGGAGTTGGCAGGGCTGCATTCCTTCTGGAGGCTTCAGGAGAGAATCCATATCCTTGCCTTTTTCAACTTCCAGAGGCTGCCTGCTTTCTTTGCTCATAGATCCTTTCTCATATCATTCTTTCCTCTGCTTCCATTGTCACACTTCCTTTTCTGACTCTCACCCTCCTGCCTCCCTCTATAACAGTGATTCTCAAGCTGTGGGTTGAGACCCCTTTGGGGGTCAAATGACCCTTTCATAGGGGTTGCCTAAGACCATCCTGCATATCAGACATTTACATTATAATTCATAACAGTAGCAAAATTACAGTTATGAAGTAGCAATGAAAATAATTTTATGGGTGGAGATCACCACAACACGAGGAACTGTATTAAAGGGTTGTGGTATTTGGAAGGTTGAGAACTACTGCTCTATAAGAAGATATGAGATTAGGTTGGGCCCAGATGATTGAGAATAATCTCCTTATCTTAAGAGCCTTAATATAATTATATCTGTAAAGTACAATTTGCTAGGTCAGGAAACATTTTCACAGGTTTGGGGGATTAGGCAGTGGACATCTTGGAGAGGGGGCATTATTCAGCCCACCACACATAAGCAGTAAAAAGTGGACCCAGAGGCTCGGCGCCTGTGGCTCAAGTGGCTAAGGCCCCAGCCAA